AAACCGGTGTCTGCACTTGCTGGCTCTACTGGCAAGTTTTTCTCTTGGCTTTGCCTGCTATTTGCACAGTCAAAGGATGGATTCTATGCAGTTATGAGACTTGGTATTGCTGGTTTTTGCTACTTCGTCACGGAGCAGGTTAGTGAAGTCTCTCTTGCATGGCTTGGGGACTGGTCCCTATTATGTTAGTGAGCACCCACGGGCAGGCCCAAATAGGCTGGAAAACAAGTGCCAACTTGGGAAGTCCTTCTTGAACTGGAGCAAAATGTGGCATTCACCAGCTGAGCCCTGATTGAAAGGACAGACCACTCCTTCAGCCCTTGAACTACCTYGTTGCCTTTAGTATGGTTATATGTATGTATCTTATCTTGCCTCCCTTACGACAACTACCTCTTTGCTCCGCAGATTCTGCAGGTGAAGTTTGTTTCAAGGTTCAGAGATGTTCCTGCACTGGCTAGCAGCTCTTGTTGCTGGTGGCTCTTTGGCTTCTTTGCTCAAGCTGGTGGCATTAGCAGAACATCACTTCACGTCCCTCGTCCCCGTGCCCAGCTGGGTGGCTGGCGGATGTCCCCTGCGCACGCGCCTGCCGGGCTCGCACCACCCAGCGGCCTTGGGCTCCTCACGCGGGAAGCAGAGTCTTTCCCAGGACCATGAAGAACCAGTTCCCGTCTGCTGGTTGAGCTGCTGCCAGCGCTGATGTTGCTTCCTCTCTCATGTGTCCATGCTCCCCGACTGGCAGGTGCTGCTCCCCTGCGTTGCCTGACAGTTCCTATAGCAGCGCTGACATCACAGAGCCCCCCACAGCGATGTCACCTCCAGCCCGCAGTGCCTTGGCCTGCCTCTGTTCCATCATCTCCTTGTGCTTTGATAAACGGCCCAGGTTTTCCCTCCGTTGAAAGGGGAATGTCTTGTTTACCATGTRACCAAGTGCGAGCAAGGAGCCAGTGCCATTTAACCAAATTTCATGTAGTTGCATGGATACATTTTCTTACAGTTTGCCAGTGTCTTTCCAAACAGACAGCAGTGATCTCACATGGGGAGCCTTCCTCTATACAGAAACATCTTGGAGAAGCTCATCTATAAAAATATATAGAGCACATATGTCATCAGTGATCCTCAACAGAATGCCTAACACCTCYAGAGCTGAAACTTCTCCTCCACTTTTTTTTTTTTTTTGCCCCTCTTTTTCTGTCCCCCGTCACTTGGGAGCTGCTCAGCTCAGGTGCTTGTTCTTGCTATTCCCTTTTACACCTTCCTCCCTCCAACAAGCCATATTGCCTGGATCCTGCAGGAAAACATCAAGAGTGAAGTGCAACCAGATAAACAACCTTTTGGGTTGGCCCACTGAGGGACCCTTTTGGTTCCTCCACAAGTTTCTAATGACTGTGGCGCCAATCCGATCTGCTTACAGTTTTGGAAGGAGAGCTGGGGAAGGTGCTTCAGGTGACAGGAGAGCAGCCCAGTCTCTCCTCTGTCTCTTTCCTAGAACCTGTCAGGGAAATCCATGGCCCACGGGATGAGCAAATTCCTGGCAATGCCTGGGCACGGTGTCCTAGCCACATCTCTGACCCTGCTCCAGTTAGTGTCAGTTCCAGCCCAGCCCTGGTACTGGGACAGTATTTACTGTAACTAAACACAGCGGGGAGACAGAGAGGCAGAAGAACCACATCCTCCTGGGGAAGACAAGATTTAATTTTGTCCATTTGTACGTTCCATTCTTCTCGAAGGCCCACACGCTCCTCTGTACCAGTCGGAGGCCTGCTGCCTGACTCCATAAAGTTTAAAATTCCTTCTGAACAATATGCTTTTGCAACTGCTTCTCTTTGTAACTGGATTTCTCATTCCAACGAGTGGTTTGCAGAGAACCTGGCTGTTTTCTACAGCTCTGTTTTTTGGCGGTTTCTTTTGCATCTCTACCATCTTCATGGCAATTACAATTCAGACCTCTACTCATGTCAGACTACTTGTTTTTAAAAGAACYCAAATATGTGCTGCTAAGTTTTCATTTTATTCAAATAAATCAGTTCCACCCACAGGCGCTGATTTGCACCTCAGTCTTCACAAAGGCTGGATTGCTCTCAATACAGTTACCCATTGCACCAGGAGTTTCCATCACAAYGTTCCAAATGGTTGATAAATATCTCAACTCACTTGCAAAAGGATCAATCTCTTCCCCACACGGGAAATTTTGAATATGCCCTTTTGGGAATACTCACCGTGACAGGTGTTAGGGGCTGTCAAATCCAGGAGCATGGCAGAAGTGAGACAGCTCCATACCCTCAGGTCCAACCAGCAGTGAGACCAAGCACTTGTTCCCAGGAAGCATGAACACACACATATATGCAAYACATATATACAGAGACACAGAGCTGGTCACACAGATCAGGCAACAGAAACCCTCAGCATTCACATGAAAACATATATAGCACTAACGGCCTCATCCTGCTCTCCTCTCCACATGACAGGAAGAAGGTCAGGAGTGGGAAGTGTACATACATACAGAGGGGATCTCTCCAGCAACATCCACCCCGTATGCACCCTGGATCCCTGGTCTTCCCATATACCTCACRTGTGCAAATGGGGGTCTCTGAGTCAACCTTTGATGCCAAGATCTCTCCAGTAGCTGGCCTGGACACCCTGACCCCTCCAGTAGCCCATTCCTCAWCTCTAGACATACTTATATGTCTGGCTCCCAGGCCATTTAACCTACTCACTGGCTAATCCAGCTTGGTTTTGCTGGCAGTCACACCCCGACTTACTTACCTCACTTGCTGTGGTTGCTGGCACTGCAGACACAGGAGTCCTCTGACCTCTGCTCCAACTCCAGTGGCTGACCCTCAGACCTCTACGCAAATGTATGAACACAGAGCAAAGAGCCCCTTTCTCAGGAAAATAATTAGACACAGAAGACAGGACAGATTGCACGGCCAGGCAAGCATACTGACCAGCAACTGGTTTACAGGCAACCAGTCCTTTTATCCCSCTACACATCTGTTTTCTTACACTTATTCCTCCCCGAAAGACCCTGATCCCTCCTCTTTCCTGCCTTTGGTTCCTCCCCTCATCATCCCATAATGTCTCACGCTATTCCAAAAATGCTCTCTGAGAACACCCTATCATGTGCCACTTTCCCCTAGACAATAACCCTGCCTATGGAGAGCGGTTCCCATTTACAGGTGCCACCACGATGGGTTTCACTCCCAGACCATGGGGCTGATGACTCTCCTGTGACAGCTCAGGAAGGAGCCTTTGATGGACTGATCAGTCCCCTAAGACAGTCTGAGATGGCCCTGGGAATTGTCAGGTTTAGGTGACAATTTAGGTTCCCCCAGCTGCTACTTTTCCTCATACGCCTGTCTGAATATGGAGATGAGCTTTTTACCACATAAAATGAACCATTGTTTTCCAGAAATTATATATAATGATTGCTTCTTCACTCCTCTCTAGCTATCCTATTTATACTTCTTTTTCAATTATTTTGTTCAGAGTCAAAAATATGATGGTACTGGAGCATCTGACATATGAGTAGAAGCTGAGAGAGCCTAGACTGGAGAAGGCCAAGAGGGAATCTTCTCAGTGTGTACAAACAGCTGATGGGCTGGAGGATGGGGGAGGAACAAAGATGAAACAGGATGAGAAGCATTGACCACAAACTGAAATACAAGAAAAAACACTTTTATAAGAAGAAACTTTTCTTAGTATGAGAGTGGTCAAACACTGCAAGAGCTTACTTGGAGAGGTTGTAGAGTCTCCATCCATCCTTGGGGATTTTCAAAACTCAGCTGGAGCAGTCAACTTGCTSTGGTAGACTCTGTTCTCATTAGGGAGGAGGGACTAGACACCCTCCTTAAGATCTTTCCCAATTTGAGCAGCCTGTAATTTGTGTTGTTTCTTTCCTAAGGCTTGAGATGATCTTCACATAGCATACAMATTTGACTAGGCCATAGACCACAGAATCACAGAATGGCTGAGGTTGGAAGGGATCTTTGGAGATCATTTGATCCAATTCTCCTGCATATACCTGGGTCACCTAAAGCACACTGCACAGCATTGCATCCAAGTGGGTTTTGAGTATCGTCAGAGAAGGAGGCTACACAACTTCTTTGGACAACCTATGCCAGTGCTCTGTCACTCTCACAGTTCAGATATTTCCTCATAACTCCCTSTGTTTTGGTTTATGCCCATTGTCTCTTGTCCTATCGCTGRCCACCACTGAAAGCATCCTTTTGACACACTTATGGTATTGTACTTAAGGTATTTGTACACACTGCTAAGATCCCCTCTCAGTCTTGTCTTCCCTGAGCTAAATAGGTCCAGCTCTCTCAGCCTCTTCATTTGACAGATGATACTGTGATTTTCATTCATCTGAGTTTATATAGGTTAAATCTAGAAAACATCTAAAAATAAAGCTTTCCACTTTGCATCAGGACTGCTGTACTTCATGCATATGGATACAAGCTCTGACAGCTACGTAAGAAGACTACATGTCAGAACTGTAATTTTCAGAGCTATGTTACTGGTCACTACAAAGGGACACAGCCTTTAATTAGACCAGTGTCTGTACATTATATKGCATTACATATCCCAAATTATTCTTTTTCTACATTCAATTTAAATTCTATCTTGCTAGAAAACTGGTAATAATTCCACAGATAACATCAGATATTATTCAAAGACATAGTGGTTCTAACATGCTAAGCTGAGAGTTTCTCTATATTTTAAAAGCTTTGGTTTCTGCTAAATAGTTATGGTGCATCCCATACGCTTTCCTTACAACTGTCAGTGTTTAGTGCCTCCTCAGAATCATACAGCTAGCTCCTGAATCTCTAGGAATCAAATCTCTCCTTAAGCAAATAACTAAAACAAAAGAACTTCAGTATTTTCTATTGAGAACACCTTGGGATGGCTTCTGAACAGTAATTATTCATTTCCAATGCAAAAAGAAAAAAGCAAAACTCCATTTTAGCACTTCTTTAAAGATAATAGGGTAACTCTGCTTTATTCATATGCCCTGTAAGTCGCCCACTTCCATTCTGTGTTTCTTGACTGCAGTGTAGAAGACTTTAAAGAAGGGAGAGCATAYGGCAGATATCCGTTCCACTGTAATTATCTTCCATGGGATTTTTCTTCAGAAAAACTCTTCTTCCTACCTTTTCCTATAGAAAAAGGATGTGTAAATTAAAGTGAACAAAATATAGTTCTCTTTACCTCTGCAGATAGACACAGCAGCTGCTCTGCACAGTGTTAGAGTAGTGTAACTCTTTTTGCTAAGAAATCTAATTCAGTAAGAGAAACTATTTCTATCATATTTTCTGCATGTAAGACCATCTGGGCATGATGCCAAAGTAAGTCATTACCACAAGATCATGACACCAGAGAGCCCTGTCTTCAGCCTCTGCCCCTCTTTTGGGAAGAACACAATACAACATGGCCCTTTGTACATAAAGGATCAGAAGTTCACAGCACTTAAGAGCATACGGATCAATATGCTGTCCTCCCACAACAGACATTTCAGGGTTAAGAGAGGCCATGAATCTGACTTTGCCCTTGAAATATGAAACCAAGACATGTTAATTCACTACAGTATTCTAATATTAAATGCACAGATTCCACTTATGATTAACTTTTTAGAACAAAATCAAGGCTTTCTTCATATACAATCACGGAGTAACACTGTCAAACTTTTTATTTTTCGAATCTTCATGCTGGTTCTCAAACAGAATGGTCCTGGACATAAATCAAGGATTTATATTTTACAAAAGATTAGCTTAGGATTCATGAATAGTACATTATATGAAGATACAGCTAAAACCTGGGGCTTATCATTACAAAAAAAATGCGGGTAAGTAGGGATTTATTTTCTATGTTTATGAAACAACAGACAATTCATGTTGTTTGTACAGAAGTCTGTCTCCTACTGATATAAATGCCAGGCGGCAAGTCTATTTCTGATCCAGTTTAGTAATTAACTTTAGGAGCAAATATGTTTTCTTATCAGGTTTAAGAGCTTATTCTAACCTCAGTGATTTATGTTATGCTGAACCCAGATCAAGGTTGGTATTTTTAATTTGACAGAGGTGAAGTTCTTACATTTTCCCTAAGACTATGGCTTATTTAGGTTTCTTTAAATTTCCTTTTATATATTCTGTCTTGAAATACACTGGATTGTTTCTAAAATGATCGTTTTTTGTAAAGGTCATCAAACCACAACAAAGGACAAGTATGTCATTCTGCTTGGGTATGTGAATGTTATTACTTTATTTTATGTAATTTAATCATCAAACTTGTTCATCTCATGAGACAGTAATTTTCTTTCAAGTGCAATTATACTTCACAGTATGCCTGCTGATTAGGCAGAAACAGAAATAATTCATCAGAAAATTACAAAAAGAATTAATCATCACCAACATGTAAAGTATAAATTACAATATTCGGCAGCCACTAAATAATTAAATACCTTCATTTTCAAATGTATCCACCAAACCTTAAGAGGAAGTACGTACATATGTGCCAATAAAGAATAAAGATCATATAACCACTTATTCAGGGTTTACATTTTGATTTGTGCAAGGAACATGGGCAATTTATTACTTGTTTTTTTACAAAAGCCCATTTTAACTGATGGTGTAGAAGGCAGTTCCCCATAGTAAAATATATTTCTTATTGAAAAGTGTGTCTTAGCCTGCAACATTCAAATCCTCCATTGGAAAAATTAACAGGCAATATTAAAATACAGATGATCGTTCTTACATTCTGTATGACAGAGCCATAGAATAATGAAGTTCACAGAATAAAGTACACAGAATAAAAAAAAAATTGTTTTTAGAAGCTGAAAAATTAATCTTGCAAACATATATACATATGCATATGATTGCACACTAGCCTCTGTTAGACTACTCAATGTGTTAAGTTAAACATACATAGAAATCTTTCTATAACGCAGGCCTAAAGGCTGAACATATTATCCAGCCTCTAATCCTACCTGTATGACACAAGATACAGATTTTGGAATCACTTTAGCGGTTTTCTTCTTCTTTTTCTTCAGGTTTTTCTTCAGGTTTTTCTTCAGGTTCTTCTTCAGGCTTTTCTTCAGGCTTTTCTGTTTGATCTTTGTTATGTACATCTTGTATATTAAAAATAAAATTAAGAAAAAAAAATAAGCATATACCTTTACACTAGAGGTGTTTTACTCAATATGCAACTTTATCTTAAAGATTCACACATAAAATATGAAATAACTTTAGTTTTGTGATATTATTTTTAAAATTATATCTATTTCCTTCTGAGTTAATAAGTATCTTCACTAAAAGTGAAAACTGGAGATGAAGGAAAACAGTTAGGTTTTATTGAAAATGCAGTTCCTCTAAAGGAACTTATTTTTCCATCAGCTCCTCATAGATCATCAAGGAAGGAAGGGATAGGGAAAAAWGCCGTTTTCCTGCAGTTAAATAAAAAACTTCTCCAGAACTCAGTCACAGATCTGTGCATTGCAGGATCTTTCAGAGCGTCCAAGATGCGTAAGCACAGATTTTATATAGCAATATTCAAAGCAACCAAAATTGTAAGCCAAAATTGCAATTCCATGTAAATAATCTAGAAATTAGAGTTAGGAATTGCCACTGTGATCTGATCACTGCTGTCTGTTCCCTTTCCATTGCATTAAATGTACAGAACTCCAGGAACAATTAGTTATCAATAGACTCGATAAAAACATTATKAGTCTATTGTGCTAGTATTGAACTAGAATATATGCAGCCATTTCTGGAATTTGTGACTTTCTGTGGGTCTGAAGTCTCTGTCCCAATAACTTCATTTCAACTAAGTCTCCATGAGTTTTCTTCTCCAGAAACAGCAGAGAGAATACAAGTGTATTGGTAGAAGTCTTTTTTTCTCCTCTAGACAAATTTGTCAAGGTAACAACCAAGAATATGCAACACAATTAATAGGCATTAAAATTGATTCACTTGGGTGCCTGGTATGTAAGCAATTTCCTTGAACAGAGCCAATGAAAAAGCCACCACAGATAACAGCTTTGAAAATAGTCTCATTACAAAGCTACACTAAAAAAGGAAACAAGAAAAAATTAAAAGCACTATACACGAGATAGAATTCATGTATACACATAGTGTTTTACATTCGCAATTTGCATAACTAAATGCAAAAAAAAATTATCTCAGACATGTTCAGCTGAATGAGAGTCTCAAGTTCATATTGCATAGGGTTTCTGCAGCCAAACTGGTAAGATATGGATTGAGTAAATGTACAATACATAYAGTGTGCAGAAAGTTTTCTGGATTAACACACTCAGAGGTCAGCTGCACCTGGAGTGATGCATGTGGTTGTGAGGAGAACTGTATATGGCTCTGAGCTTCCTCATCCAGGAAAGACATGGACATGCTTGAGCAAGCCCAGGCCATGCCACCTTCCCTCAGGACCACAGAAAAGCCCCTGGTTGGTTTTACTTAGCTTTGTAGATGCAGTCTCAGAGCTGGAGGAGCAAATGAAGCTAAAGCACTAATAAGCCACAAAWTAAAGAGTAAGCAACAGTAAGAAACAAGAACAATATGAGCTTTAAACAGGATGATAATTAACAGAACAGAGATACTCAAAGCTCTGTGAAATCCTCACAGCTTAGAAATGAACAGCACATGAGGATCTTGGACTAAGTAGCAGTTTATATATCAAAACATTAGAAAGCTTAGGCTCACCCAAAACAGATGATTAGATCTTTAGCAGTTAATGATAAGATTTTTCAAATTTAGATGAGGTTATAGGAATCCTCAAGAAACCAAAAGAAAAGGTGCAAAGGATGCCCATTTTCAGTTCAAACCAATCTGTCAGGATACAGCAGTATATGGGTCCATCAAACCAGCTGGTCAGATTACTCAGTTGTGCTTGATACAACTGAACTTAATTTAGATGACTCCGAGATTTCTTAGACAGATCCCATGGTAAGTGTTTACTAAAATCCTGGCAAATTGAATATTATTACATTTTGAGTAAGCTCTAACCTAGCACTAATAAACACTTTCAGTGGAAAATGTTTGATCAAATTCATACCTCCTAAGAGGCCTTAGGAATATTGCACTTTTTTCCTCAGAACTATTCAGGATGATTTCTGAACCAATTTGSCAATCCAAAGTCACAAAACAGCCACTTTCAATTTAACTACGATATAAGAARTGCAAAAGAATCTTGTATTAACAATGGTTGACACTCTCCATGAGGAATTCATCTCTCAGCGATGAAGGAAATGAAGTGACTATTCACTTAATCCACACTCATTCCCTCTCTAACTTCTTCAAAATATGCACATATGAAAGATTTCAGATAAAATTACAAATCCACAGACTGAAGGGTTTTACTCTATATGCTTTGGCACAGTCAAGCTAGATATGAACAGTCTGAAAATTGGCAATTTTAACTGCAGGTGACTGAATTCTGCTGTACTATTTTCTTTTGTAAACTTGTTGTTAAATGAGCTCTTTTAAACTCAGCACTAGCTGTATAGCTAGCATACCTTCTGAAGTAGCAGACTTTCTGAGAATGAAGTCGAACATATTTTTGACATTCCATGATTTCTTCTCTTCCTGAAATGGAAGTTATCAGGATTTCACTTTTTGTWAAGTCTAGAGAAATCAAATGATTTCAGAACTGTAAGAAGTGATTTATGAGGAATGATTAAAAGAATAAACATATAGAGACACTTTATATATTGTCTAAAAACATTTACAAAAGTATGTTCCAGAGCGTAAATTCTGACTTTTTTGTTCATATTTCCCACTAAATGAGTGAAAATTTCCAACACATTTTTCAGAAAAAGATCTTTTTCCACAGGATAAGAAACAATTGTTTACAGAAATAGTGAAAGATACAGCTGAGTGTGGAATGGATCTATGGAATGCTGTATATAATTAAAAGCTTCAAGTTAGTAAGATAAGCCACAGAAATACTTCAAGGAAATACTGTAAGCACTGTCATGTAAAAATATATAAAACTGCTATGGATAAAACACTATAAAAARTCTCTAGCAAGCAACTGGACTAAGGTCTTTTCTATATACAACTCCATTTATTTATTTCTACATCTGCAAATAAATTCTTCAACTTCATTCATTGCACATATTGTACCATTTGGTAACTTTAGCCTTCTGGCTGTAGCAGAAATTTTTGGCTTTTAGGCAGAGGTTAATGGCAGCTTCTACTCAAGAATGCTGACTCAAGGACAGAATCTAATCTCTTTCCAGGACAGCATTATTAACAAATCACCACCTGCTAAGCATCATTCTAAAAGAGAATATCTAAGATAACTCAGTTCAATTATATAACTGATTAATTTAATCCACAGGTGCACCTACCCTAAATCAGTATGCAAAGATACAATTCCATACTTTTGTTTTGACMTCTGCAAACACTGACCCTTTGAATAACCAGATTGTTCTACTTTCTTGTGCAGAATCTCAGCTTTCATCAACTTTAAATCAGCTAGACAATTAAGATACACATCTTATGAGTATTTATTGAGCCACACATTGTTCTTGCATACAATGTTTTCATATCTAAAAGCGTAATTTAATACAATGAAAAAGAAGCACGTAGGAAAGTGTCTCTACATGAATGAATTGCTGGTTATCATGTTTACGCAAAAAGGTTCAGCACAACTTTAAGTAACTTCTTATTTCATTGCTGTTAATACTACAGGATGTGCAGCTTCAAAAGGTCCCAAAATTTTTTCTAGTATTTTATGTGAAGTCTTTTTTAGCTAGAGGAAAATCGTAGAGATTAAGTAAAATTCTGGGCTCAATATGGATTAGTATCATTTTATATCACTGTAAGTATTGTTGTGGTGTTATACATTTAGACGTATAAAAATTAATAAAAAAGTTGCCTCCTCACAATGGATAATTATCCATTTGTCTTAAGCAATGGCTGAGTTTGTGTAAGAGAATTCCTGCAGAAGACAATCACAGTTGCTAATTTTCTAATACATTTCATATGCTTAAAAAGAAGTGCTTATAGGAAATACCTAAAGAATACATCTTCAGTGTCTACATTTTTTATACAGAAAGCAAGATAAGTCTTTCAAATGCTAACACGTTGTGCAAATATCCAGTACTAACCATTTAACCTAAAATCATTAAAATGTCCACGAAAAAGTAAGGTTAATACCTTACTTACCTTTGCAAAAAAAAGGTTGTTGTTAATAAACTTTAAATAAGACTACATTAATTAGCTGTCTATGAAATACAAATGTATATACTATATGCAATGTGAAGTATTTTCATAGGTACTAAGAAATATTCCATATGGGAAATTAAAATCTCCTGATTTGAGGAAACTAAATAATCAAATGCCAGATGTTTAACTAGAACCTGGTTTGCACATTTCAAAATAAAGTTATGTCAGGTCCTATCATAACACATTCTGCTTGTCTCAAATGAAAAATTATCCTAACATCTTTTTAGCAGAGGATTCCATCCTGCTCTCTAGATGTAGACAGTTATGTACATGCTCAGCAGTAAAAAGCAGAGAATCATCCTCTCTCTCTGCCTACAAAATAAAGGTGCCAAGCAGAGCCAATTTATCTGACTTTTACTTAAAGGTATATAGGAAAAATATATCACTTAAAAGGGATCTAATATCCCTGTTAGTAGTGAAGCTGAGGTCTTAGTCAACTGACCTGTTTTTCTACTGTACCTGAGTCAGGCTTGCTGATTATCTGCCAAACATAAGCCAATATCATACTTTTCTTTTTAATTAGCACTGCAAAGACACTGCAGCTATGAAAAGTGGCCCATATCTGACTACTGCACATAAATTATCAATAGAATCTTTCATTCCTGCCAATATTACCTACATCACATGAAGTAATATTAGAAAATGCATTCCTGAAATCACTCAGTCACAATAAAAATGGAACTAAAGGACATATACTTTCAAAGTCACTTTAGAATACAGCAGTTCTAATAGCTCAAGATTTTAGCTTCTAATTGCTAGAGCTAACTAGGAAATGAGTTTTTGTCCCAAACTAACTGAAATATTTTGAATTTAGTCTGTGTTCTGAATCAAAAAGCTTTGAATCCAAAGTGTCCCAATCCCTGACTGGAAAATAAAGACAACTAATAGAAACTGATTGTCTCCAGTGGAAAACCTTGATTTTTAGTCACATCACATTCCATGATAGTTCAGTTTTTCACACACAGACTTAGATCTAAACCCACCTATTGCTCTGCATGCTACTGCTCACGAATATGACATTGTTTATTACCATGTGCAGTKTTTACAATCATGTTAAAGGCATTTTTTTTCAGACTTCCATACTGTTGCATAGGCTGGAAGTGATGCAAATTGTGAATATGTATCTGTCTACAAATATGGCCTACAATTTGAGAGAAAACTGTGTTCTGTACTCATAAGTTACTATGTATGTGCTCACAATAGACTGGGTTTATTCAGGCAGATAGTAAAGTGTTGCTGCATTTTCTGTTTTACTGCTTTTCAGCTGAATCTAGACTGTTTATACAGAAATCTGTTATTTTTCCCCAAATCTCTAGAAGTGCTTGCTGTTCAAGACACTTCTATTGAGGAAACGTCTTTTTTTAAACAAACCTTTTCTGGAACTTCTTCAGAAGCCAGGGCATCTGTTTCAATCTGTTYCAAAAAATACAGAGCAGTTAATTCAATGAATTTTAACTGCAGTCTTATTAACAGAATTTTCAATATCTCCTTAATTTAGAGAGTCACTGAAAACACATAAATAACATTCAGCTTTCACATATGCAACTCTTCCAATTGCAAATTCAAGTTACACATAYGATTTTAAAGGTATTTAATTATTTCTATATTCTTTGTACTGTTTTTCTTAGAGATACAGAAAAAAGAAAAGCTTTTTTACTGTAACATAACAATGTATGCAGAAGTACTCAAGRGGTATAACACTCTGAATGGATATATCAAGTTTTTTGCCTTTATATTTATCTACGTGGGGTATGTATGTGTCAGTGAGTCTGTGTGCACTCTTTATAATAGGAGCACAGAAGGCCAAATTCTATCTTTGGACTCAACTTGAGATAGGCTACAGCTCAGAATCTGCAGGCATTTGTTGTGCAAGTACCTACATATTTCAATAAATAATCAAGTCCCRTTTTTAAAATGAGATTTGCTTCTGTTTTCATTTCATTAAATATATTAGGAATGGGATTATAAGCATTCTTTTTATCGTAAGTAACAGAAAGACACATGGCTCAGTGAAGGAGACATTTTGACATAGCAGCAATGCTTTCCACATTAATCATTTCCATATTAATCAAAGCTTACATATGAGTTTATTAGCCCTCCTGAACTCAGTGACAAAACTCTACTAATTTCAATGCAATGAGGATTTCTGACAAAGAATTTAGAACACGAATCTTAAAAAATGCATTTTCTCTTACAATAACATTAAAAATGAGTAAATATATAAGCCATGTTCTACAGGACAAGTACCTAATTAAGATAAAAATTAGTATGTTATACCGCACTTTCATTTTTGAYTCCAAAAGGAAAAGGTACTGTTTCCATTTAAACGTTAAGAAAAATAGATTTCAAGCTTCCAGTTAAAAMTGATTCAGTAGTACTGGAATTTCATGAGTTACTACTGTAATAATGACAGGAATCTGATTATTGAATCCTACAGGACTTTCATCATCTTTTAATAATGCAGATGCCTGTCCTGACATAAATGGTTTGGTGAGATTTCAGGCACAATGGAATGATACCAAAAAAAAAAGCTCATTAAAGTCTGCTTTACAGCCTTTAGTCAAAACTGGACCTGGTTTCATGTTCAGAATCAAATGCAAATGCTTTATATTCTACTTTAAAGATCTAGCTTACATTTAAAATATGTACATTTTCACATTAAAAAAGGAGATCTAACCTCATCCACAGTACTGCTGATAGGTGCTGTAATTTCTTCCTCTTGCACAATCTCCGCTGGAATCTACATGAATAAAAATCAAATGAGCTGTTCCTAATTTACAGCTTTTGTATATTACSCAATAAAACTGCCTTATAACAGTTTCATTCTTACTTTTATTATTAACCTTTTATTATTAATTTCATCTAACTTTTGTTTGCTTACTTTTAACTAATATTCACTGATCAAATAAAACATATCAAATATTGATTTAATTCATGAATCAAAATATACACCAAAAAGCATTTACATATATATTAAGTAAAAGAAGGTTTGATTTAAAGACATTATTCGAGTCAAAATTCATTTTACTTCGGGGTAAATATGTACTTCAGCAAGATTTTTGCTTAAGCAAGAGCTGGAGGATTTGGCTCAGAGTAGTGAAATAATGAATTACGCTAATTTCATATTCACAAAGAAATTCAGGACTTATAAATAATTCAACCAAATCAGAATTAATGATAAGTGTTGGAAAGTGAATTAGAACAATGATAGGAATGTCTCAGAATTATAAAACTAAAAGCACTATAACTTTCTACTAAATTGAAAAGGCTAATATTTGTCTTATTACAGGGTTACTGAGAAAACACTTACTTTAAAGAAGCACATCATTAGAATGTAATTTTTGATCTTGTTAAATATTACAGGAATCTTGTTAAATATTACAGGAATTTAAACAAGCATTGAAGGTTTTTTTTAGTATTTTAACAACATAAATTGTCCTTTCCTGATAGTCTCCAATCGGTTTGCGTTATTTTCAGCATGCCATCACAGTGACATCACTAGCACTAGCAGAGGAAAATAAGCAGAAGTCTTTGGCCCATTGTCCAAATGCTTGGTTTGCTTTTCAATGATTTTGAAGTATAAAGTAACACATAAAGAWGTATAATACAAAAATAGTTTATTTTGCAAAGACAAATGTAGACATGCTGGATTTTATCAAAAGGGATTATATGGGGATTATACGGGATTCATGGAAAATGAGGTAAAAGGAGTAAAGGGCAGAAAAGAGAAAATTAACTAACAGTTTTGCTAGAGAGGAATGTTGCAATACGTACACAGTACTACGGGTATCCTATTAGATGAGCAAAATAAATATGTGGAAAACACTCAACTAAATGCATTCCAAGGACAGTATCATTTAAAATGAAGATATAAAATTCTAGTAATGCAAAACAGTTCTCTGGAAGATTGATCTTTTGCATATTGATTCTTCAAGCAAAGAAAAATATTGATACAGCCCCCCAAGCTGTTTATCTTTTAACAGAGAAAAATGAACATCATAATTAGGTTTGACAAGTATATTCCAAAAATGAATGCGTTTTTGCATAAATATTCATTGTGCCCTCTTACACACACCCAACATTCTTTACTTCATAGCTCACTTGTTTTTATCTTTTTCTCTTTGTGTACCGTTTTTGTTCCCAGCATCAAATTTTCTTATTATTTCCACTTCTCTTTCCTCTAGGTCTTCATCACTTCTGTTCCTTGTATTTTCTGTATCTATTTATCCCATGACTTCTTGAACTATTTATTCTTATCTTCCCTTCTTTCTCATCCCCTCCCATCTTTTGTGCTCCCACTCTGCTTTCTGGTGGTTCAATCGTGTGCTCCTCAGCTGTACCATCAAGGGCAGCTTGCAGCTCTCCAGCCTTACAGCCATGTAGGCAGCTATTTCTGTCGTGAAGACAGTGTGCAAGGGAAACTCTAGATCTTACTCAACGGACTGTCAAATGTAAAAAGTAATCAGAACGAAGGCAGTTTCATATACACAAAAGAATAGAGTACGAAGCTCAACAGCTATAAAAATATAATAAAATGGTGCTGCAGTTAGCTGTATCAATACTAGAAAACTATCTTGCAGATGCTGTCGTGTTTTTTCCATTTGTGATTTGCACTTTATGGAGAAATGGTATTTTAATACCGAAACATGTATGAATTTTCTACTAAGACACTGCACGCCGATGCTGCTCCCTGGGCAATATCTGTTCTATGAATAAACAGATGCTTTTCCTGTGCTATCAATCTGGAACTTTAAATTCACTTTCAAAATTAAAAAAAAAATAAATATTGTAGGGTGAGAAGCAGTTTGACTTGACAAAATTGAGTGAGAGATTTCGGAATGGGTGATAGGTCGCCCTTTCTAAAACTGAAAGAGATAAGCATATTTCATTGGATGCATTTGCAAAAAGGAGAAATAAAATCTATCTTTTAATTTGATCTCTTMCAAAATATTGCTAAAATAAAATATTACAGGATCCTGACTAGTACTTTCTTCAAAATGTATTTGTTTATTATTATTTTTAACAAGGAACTAGACATGTTCTTGTTCTAGTATTGTTTCTAATTAGCCTGGACAGATTAGAATCATTTCATCTTTTAGTCTGACAGTTTAAGTGTCTACRGAAAATGTATATGTAAACATTCAGCACAGAAGCACAGAAGCATTACTTGTTTAAAGCAAAGGCACAAGAAAACTCAGATGTTCTCCTGCCCTTACCTTGGAGCAGCATTCTGGTTTGCACCATTCGGTTGTTTCTCTGTCATGACATCACCAAGGTTTTGAAACAAACAAAACSTTTTAAGAGCTCATGGATGAAAGCTCAAGTTTTGGGATGAGTATTTTGACATGGGAGAAATCGGGAATGAAGTAACAAACCCCTCTGGCAAAGGGGTTTGTTATATCTTTGTCTTGTATATCAAGAACAAACTTCCTAAACCTTTTAATTAATCTTTTTTTTCTCCTAAACCTTTTAATTAATCTTTTTATTTCTTGAAGTTGTGAAGTTTTTGTAGAACATTTAATTTATTTTTCTTATGTTCTGGCAAAACAGCTTTAAAGACAAAAAGCTTTTCCATTTTTGAACATTCTTATTTCAAGAAAAAGGAGCAATCAGCCCCGTCCTGAGGGTTCTCGCCAACTCATGGTCACATAACAGAATTTGCCTTAATTCTACCTGGTCAATAGGCACTTCCACTTTCACATTTTTGTCATCCTGCACTTCTTCTGCTCCTTGAACTTCTTCTCTTGGTTTGTCTACACTAAAGATACTTGGTGCTGAAATGTAGTAAAAAAAAATACTTTGAAATTCCAAATATATGCTTGGACATTCTCTTAACAATTGCATGCTGATCAAATCCTTAATAAAATTCTGCCAATTCCTTTACACTGAACTTTCTATTTTACAATAAAAAATACCACTTGAAAATGCCATATAATAAAGTAGACGGGTTTAATGTGTGAAATTCAGAATTTGGGCACTACTTATAAGCTCACAGGGAAGGCAGGACCCTTCCCCTTGCACAGTGCAACATGCTAAAAATAAGGGGGAAATGGAAGAAACACGTTAAGAAAAACAGAAATTTTGGAAGATTAAGAAAACAAAATTGTTATTAAATATATTTATGCACCAACAAATGTATGTTCTTTGCTTTCTAATAATATTAAACACTCGTGGAATTTTGTTTTGACACATGCTGTGAATACTAAGTATATTTCTTGCATTAAATCTTGGTTTAATGTACAGCTACATAATGTACATTTACTAGGTATATTTCTTGCATTAAGGAACATATACATCTCATTTTATATTTTATATATATTTATATATATTTCAGGTATTTATAAATAGAAATCCATCAATGCAGCACACAGAAAGATGATTTTTAGATTAAATTGACTATGTTATCCCTACATCTAGTTATTACTTTTAGATAGACATGTTCAACAAACTGCAGCTGACATTGTCCTAGAAAGAATTCCCAGTTCTCCCCTGCTCATTCTGCCATCTTAATTATTCAGGCATTTGTGCAAGCTGGGGAGCAGATCTAACAGGAAAGACTGAATGAGATTAATTCCATAACACTTAAGCATCTCAGAACTGATCCATTTTTCCTTAAATCATCGCCTATTTATTATTCCGTGTTACCTTTAGCAAGTACTGGATCTAAAGTTCTTTCAGGACCTGCCTTCTTGCTTTTGTCATCAAAATCTGTGCTTGCTTTTTCATCTTTCATTTTTGCACTTTCAGTAGCTGTTGGAGGTCTACTGGAGGATTTTCTGGCCCTTGGCCTCTCTGACTAGCAAAATGTAAATAGAGAATATCAAAACGGACACTAAGCATTTTTTGATATAGTGATAACCAAGAAAATCTCTTTGATTCTCTATACAAAACATCTTGAAGTGATCTTAACCGTTCCTATAATTTCCAAAGACAAGTCATTAATTCCTCATCATCAGTCCTCCCACAGATTATGTACTGTTAACTTTGTAGTTCTCCATATTATTCAGTTGCTAAAGATCTCTTTAAGGCAACATCATTGTCASTATGATCCCAATATCTCATTTTGTCCATTCCTTCCTCATCAGCAGAGAGTTATTAATCTGGGTTCTAACCCACTTCTTGAACTATTTCCAGCCTTTGCCTAATACCTCTTCTGTATTTACGATGCAAATATTTTGGAATCCTTAAATCTTCGTTTTACTGTGACTGGACTTTGATTGATTCCCCATTAGGAACAGTTGTAGTTACAGTTACATAAGACCAGGACATAGATGTTATTTCTCAGTGYATTACAAGTAGCCAAAGTTTGTGTCACATCACTGCAGTGTTATTTCTAGCATTATGACTAATGCACCTGGAACTTTCATACACACTGTATATGCCATATTACTAGCAGAAAAKAAGATAGCAAATAATGAAGAAATGGTCAACTGGGCAATATAAAAGCTGTTCAGTATTAAAAAAAAACCCTCAAGGTATATATTAACCAAAAGTTTTGGTGTTTGACAGCCTTTAAAATGTATGCAGTGCTTTTTCAAATGCCAGAAATGGCTAATATTAATAATAGACTTGAAAGTGGGTCTGTTACCAAGGGAAGATGCTGGGAAGATATAGCTATCTTAAAAACAACTGAAGAGAGATGGAAGCTGTTGAGATTCAACAATTATGATTTTGCTTCACTTTCCAACTCTATAATAGTATAAAAGAGTGGCTTTTGAAACAACTGGACAGATGGATTTATAATTAAAAAGCTTATGATTTCCATATGGTAAACTTTATAAAAATTACTTTGGGAATAGAGGACTGTTTATTATCTGCTGCGAATGGGGAATTGGATGCAGGATTTTAAAAAGCATTTTGGATAGATACCAGCCCAATACTTCTCATGCACAACATTTTTGCTTATATCAGTAATATGACTTGGATAAACAAGAATACAGGGGATAGTTTTGTTTTATGATTATCTTTGGACATTTCCTGACTTCAAAGTRTATTGAACATTGAGAGATTGATTCTTTTAATCTTATTCAGTGCTTTTATCTGCAATCCAAACAATGATTTAACCTCTTACAAAATAAGTTTGTAGGAAGTACAAAGATTACTTGACTAGCAATTATAAGGAGGGCAAGGTATTGTTACAGAATAATTGCAGTTAAATGTCAGCAGTTATGTTTTAATATATCTGAATATGATGAAATGTATCTCTGGACAAGGATTTTTGTCTAAAAATAGGGACATTCTTGATTTGAAAGATGAACTGTAAGGACAAGTTACTATAGTTGGCCACCTCATTATGAACTCTCAGTGCAGAAGATGCAATGTGATAAAGTATGAAAGTTATGCTTCTACATACAGCATTTGTGAGTCATGACTAGCATTCTCTGTCCAGTTCTGGCATGTCAAGGAAACACCGAAGTTCAGAGAACTTAAAATGATCCAGGGATTGGAAAACAGTCTTTATTTAAGTGTCTACTCACAGATATTAATCCATTGAGCTTATAACTGTTGAGTTCCACTTATACTTACCTGTCTTACAGGCAACACACGCTTAAGATTAGCTATTTATTCAAAATTTATTCATTTATTAATTTATCCCTTCGATTTTTAACCAAGAGAATGCTGAAGAGATAAACGCAGTCTTGAAATAATGAAATTTTCTAGTGATGAGCATAGCTAAATACTAGAATAGCTTCTTAGCAGCAATGCTGCACTGTCTATTGCTTGGAGTTAAAAGACAGTGAAAACTCTTTCTAAAAGAGTTGTTTGATTTTCTTTCTACGAAAAATCCACCACATGTACAGTATGGATCAAATTGGATGACCAAAGGTTCCCAAATACTGGGCTAAAGGACTGGAAAGACACAGACACTAAACATATCACATTCTCCAAGCAAGTTCAAGCATAACAAAATCTTTCCCAACAGATAGCTGTGAGAATCTGACTCATACAAATGTCTAGGGACTATATCTCACAAATTCATTTGCATTTTGTCCCAGGAACAAAGTTCCTTACAACAAAAAGAAAGTAATTTCCTTCGAAGAGTTAATCTAAATGTTTCATAATGAAGATCACTAAGATCACTACTTTCTGGGTATTTACATTCTGATTACGAAGAACTGACGCACTTCTTTGAATCTTTCATATAATAATTCCTAATATCACTAGACTATTAATAATTAGAAATGCCTCATTATTATGAAGCATTTGTAGCATTGTAGGTAGCTTGCAGATATTTAATTAGATGATCTCTTTATTTATTATTTGTATCTTGATAATTTCAGCTGGTTAATCAACAGATACACAGATGTGATGTGTTCCACAGTCTAACTCATAGGCAGAAACAGCTCTATGCATATTTGCAACTGAAGTCAAAAAGAAAAGTTTTATTTTTCTTTTCTTTTTGCAATTTACACTATGATGTGTGGATTTTAGTTCAAATAAAACCTTTTTCTATCTTTTAAAAGTGAATGTTAAACTACATACTGTTCTTGTACAATTCAGAGAAAAAGTAAATTCCACATGAGGTTAACAAGCAGAGYAAAGACTTAGAACTTGAGGATAAGGATCAATGTAAAAATAACATTAAAAGAACACTTAAGGGAGATACTTTCTGCTCAAAAAATTACACAATTCTCTTCACGACTATTTAMATTCAATTTACATAAAATGCAAATATTTCAATCAACACAATCTGATTTACAGTCTAAATGACAATAGGTCTATCATCTTGTCAGTTCTTGCTGTAACGTTACAATAACTCACAATATATCTATCAAAAAATATTACCAAGATATACCATAGAAACATATTTAAAATGGATATTAAAAAGTTGTATTTTAACTTACTCTTGCCTTTTTCTTTTTACATCTTCTTGAAGGTACTCGTGATTCACCATATAAACTAAAAGGCAAAAAATGTGTTAAAAATTGWTAATTTTAAATGAAAAGTATTACACTGAATTTCCATTCTTTTCTTCTTATTATCTTCTCATTAATTTAATAATGCTGCTAAGCCTTCCTTCCAGCCACTGAGCAGTTTCAGTATGGAGGAAATATTTAAACTATAGCAAGAGACTACATCTAAATGTAGTACTTTTACATTAAATATTTAGTACTTTAGGTATTGATCCCTACAAAGGCAATGTACTACTTAAGTAACTACTAAGTGATTGGTTTACAAAGTCAAGAAAGGGATACATCAATTGTACCAGAAAGGTGTTGGGTAGGTAGGACAGTCACCCCGAAAGCAGGAAGTCTTTACTAACTCTTATTAAAGAAAGAGAAAGCCCTAGAGCTCACATTTCCTGACTTCCTCAAAATCAAAGCAAAACAAGATTATGTTAAAGATCGTCCATTTATCAGTCTAAAATTTCTAATATTTTTATATAAATAAAATACAAGTTTTCTGCAAGATAAAATAATGAATTTTGATATTCATTGTGAATCCAAAKCGCAACCAATTACAATTTGAATTTTGGCTAAACATTATAAAGTTAATATAGTTATAAACTCTTTATGAGATTATTATTATAACGTCTCTCCATGAATTAAAGCAGCTAACAAACTTAGTGACTTATTATTTGGAAGATGAATTATTTGCCACATGACCAGGTACCAGGTCAACAAAAGGATTTTGGAAAATCAAACTTGATTTTGCAAAGACAAGTTACATGCAAAAGTAGCAAGAATTACTCCTTGCAAATGGAAAGTTTAGCAGGCTGAGCAAAACAGTTGAACATATCAAATTAAATCAATATCAATTAAATTAATATCAAATTAAAAATGCAATCAAGCTTTGGAGGTAAAACATATGCCAGGCACAAAGAACAGAACTGCTTTCAATAACTGTGAAAGCAAATATTATGCCAAAGCCTTATACAGAAGGAATGCATCACACAAGAAGCAAAAATAACACTTTTGCAGAAGTGTGTTGCTCTGCAAAATAAAAAATTGACTGATAAAAGTCAAATAGAAAATTCCGCAAATTGTGGAGGACTGCTTTAGATTTAATGATATCAAGGAGCTTTTAAGAAAGTGCCTAAAAGTGACCTCAAGTAATTACAAGATCAACTGCATACAACCAATGCACTTTGATGGCTGAATTCTTCAGTTTGGCAATACTATTATAAAAAAAATTGATTCACCAAAAAAAAAAAGAAATGAGGAATCTGAAAGAACAAAGAAAATATTGCTAAAACTGAAATATCATTTTGTCACAAGGACAAAAGGGCAGAAGCATTTCTGTGAAGATATTTAGGCTGGAAATGAGGTTTTTAACCATTCATTGGGTTAATGAAAATAAGGAAGGGGTCCTATACAGTTTCATATGAGGGTAGAGAACTGGTAACACTTGTCACAGCCTCCGTGTGAATGTCTTTCCACTTGCCTGAATGTCCATTCACAGAATTACAGAATCCTTAAGGTTGGAAGGGACCTCAGAGATCATCTAATCCAGCTCCCCAGCACACGCAGGGWCACCYAGARCACGGGGCACAGGGTGGCATCCAGGCAGGTTTGGAAGATCTCCAGAGAAGGAGACTCCACMACCTCCCTGGGCAGCCTGTTCCAGGGCTCTGKCACCCACACTGTTAAGAAWTTTTTCCTTAGGTTCCTGTGGAACTTTTGGTGCTTCAGTTTGTGGCCATTTCCCCTAGTCCTATCAGTGGTCCCCACTGAAAAGRGCCCAGTCCCATCCCCCTCATTCCCTCCAGAAAGTTTCCCTATATCACAGAGGACAGGAAATGACTCCTGCAAACTMTGCATATGGACCCTGTTCAATTTTATTGATATCACAGATGCTTAGAGAATTAAATACTTACAGACACAGATATTTAAGTAAAGTCTTTGGTTAATAAAACTTTTTTAATAATAGATGTGAACAGTTAGTGCACTTAGTATTCCTTCCAACTGTGTTTTCATAATAGTATTTCTTTTAGAAAAGACATTTCATGAATGAAGAATTTCATATGTTTAGGTAGTCAGAAAGTACATTTTGGAAGTACTGGTCTGAGCCACTAAAGTAATCACAGYTCCTTTTGAAGAAAGCCCAGATGGACTATACTCATGTGTCCCCTCATTTAGCAAGTGTCCAGTGGTTCATAAATTTGGGGATAAATTTGTTTGGGAAAACAAATGATTTGCTCAATAAATATATTTGCTCAATATATAAGAAATTACATTTGTTTTTTTACAGAAAGCAASCACAGAAAACTGAAACATTATAGTGCTCAGTACGGGAATTCGCAGATATTAAGGTGAGTTTCATTAAACTAGGATATATCTAGTCGTCTTTGTTCACATTATCCCACTAAGAGAAATATATGACTGAAAATAAGTTTAGTACAGGTAGGACAAGTGGGTGTTTTGGCAGAGGTCATTTACTTCCCAGTGGCTTCCCCTACTAAGAGATGCCTCTGCCCAAAGAGTTTTATAATGATTTCCAAATTTCCGATTTCAGTGGAAGTAACATTTATGTCATGATAGACAGAAATATTTTATCATCTACTGAATAAAACCCAAGTATTTTCATTAAAAATTTTTAAATTATTATCCTTGTATCATGCTAGACATTTATTTCAAAAAAAATCTATAAACATTTGTTTTTCACAATTCAAAAGACTAGGGCAGAATACACCAGCTTATCTTCTTGATAAACAGATTAAATCTGTAACTTTATACTCTGTGATGCATGACAATTTAATTCCAGACAATTCAAGATGATAATCACTTTACCAAGCACACTGAATGTAGGCTAAATTTAACACGACTACTACTCAATTGCAGTATTTATATAAAAATGGAATGCTCCAGGAATAGCTAATAGAATTTTTAAAACAGTAGAAAATCAGCCAGTATCTAAATATCATCACTACAGCCTGAAAGTTCAGTTTCCTAGTGTTCCAGTGTTGAACACATGAATAGGGACACTCTTCAGCTTAGCAGTACTGAATTAACTATTATTTAGACCAGAATCATTTATATAATATAGTACATAATAGAATGTTTTTATTATTACTATTGTTACTGTTGTTGTTGTTGTTGTTGTTGTTGTTGTTGTTGTTGTTGTTATTATTATTATTATTATTATTATTATTTTAATTTGCTGAAGCTGTCACCTAACTGATTTCACCACCTGTAGAAACATATTCAAGATTGCAGAATCTCCCCAGGAGGACACAACCAGGGCCTCTTCAGCTAATAAAACAGTATAATGCTCATATGCCCAATGTCACAACCCAATGACTTAATCCTTTTATGAGCTCTAATATTCCAGCACAATTCAGTAATCTTAAAGGAAAACTGAACAGTAAACTGATACATTCCAAAAACAGAACAACATATGGTAAGACGACAAAATCTCAAATAACTGACAAGAAATAAACTATTATCAAATAAGACAGCAAATGCAAAATCTCAAAAAAAAGCATGCTGACAACCAGAAATATCCTAAATAAGTGAAAACAATATATGAGCATTAGAACTGACAAAGCAATTAAATGTGCTATTAATCTACCTGGCAAGTCTCCGGGGTGGCTGCTTTAGTATGTACCTGAACACATAAATTCTGTAACACTGACAGACTTGTGATGTCTGTGACAAAAACAAGTGAATTGCAACTACAGAGTATAAAATGTGTTATATAAATATACATAGGATATAGAATATAAATATGTTCTGTCATTTTTATTGGATCTTTGCTTATTTTTTTCAGTTTATAACACATATATTAAAAAAAGAAATCACTCCCCTATTCACAACTGAGAAGAAGTCTGTCAGAAACATAATGACTGAAACATTATTTTCCTGGATCTAACCTGCATGAAATCTTTCAGGCTCATTAGCTAATTTAAATGAGTAATCAGAAGTCATGGGTTGTCAGTTAATTAGCCATTGACAATAATAATTGGGGAACTATGTATCAAACTTAAAAGGAAGATTCAARAATAAGAGAGGTTAAAAGTCAAAGCTGAAATACTTTTTATGTAAGAGTTTACATGCCTTGTTTTGTGGCAGAGGCCAGTATTTGCCTTTGATCATTTCACATGCCTCAGTTATGATCCAAACTGTACTAGACTTCTTTTGCAGTCAACACAGAGAATATGGACAGCTCCAGAAGGGCAAAATTCATTCCACACATTTACATATTCTCCACTGAATTTTAGTTGAGCTGAGAAAGYTCCTAATAAATGAGCTAGCGATAACTGCCTAAAAGTAGTTAGGCACAAATCTGGATTTGTGTTTTCAGCATTTTGCAGGACGGAAGTATTTGACATGGGACTGAACCACCGAAAAACTTACCAGCGAACCTCTGAAGGGACTCGAGAGGAACACCAGTATGGTAATGGTTTGAATTTTTCTCTGCCCACTGCAACATAAAAATGATTATCTTCTAAGCCATCTGAGCTCTCCACAGCATGACCATCCAACGTGTACAGCCTGTTATCAAAAGAAATAGAAACTGTAAATCAGTCATTCAACCACATTCAAACTGTATATGCTTATTAGTTAGGACTCAATCCAGAATATTTTGGAAGTCCTGTAGCAGTTCCCATATGTATTAGCTCCCATTCCGCCACACACGTAAGACATGTAAAGACTCCTAGAAGAAGCTTACCTCAGGCRTATCAGTCCATATTTCCCAGCAATGACTGAAACTGAAATTTCCAACACACGTATCTAAAATCCAAGGCAAATAAACTGATAATATGTGATGGAGATTCTTCTCCTGAGACAAGGTGAGATCTGCCTCCTCTTTTATATAGAATATAATAGGGGTACTTATCACTTAAACATTATGTACCATGACATAGGGAAGAATTCCAAAACATTTTCCAAATCTTTCACATCTCAAAAATGTGCATATGAGACTTCACATTGGTTGAGCAGTTCAGACCATAGGATGACCAGGCAGGCAGTACCTCATAGCAGAAATGTAGTTCTGATTGGATATATGTCTCAAAGGTAACTTTTTACAAATGTAAATCAGGAACTATAACCTCTGGAAGAAGGCCAAGATCATAACCAGAATAGAAACTTACATCAATATCCTACTTGGTAGGTGTGAAGCCACATTTAACATCYACACACATGCATAAAAAGTAGCCTAGATGTAAAGAAGCATGAATTCCAGAACTGCCAGACACGGACATACAATTGTCTAAGGACAGACATATTCAGGGCCTGAGATATTTCTCTCACATCTCTAAGGGAAGATCTTCCACAGCTTGTTGCATTTCTCTGAGCATTCCTGCCACCACGAGCAACCTCAAGGACAGGTATGAAACTAAGAAAACACACCCTGACAGAAGGAGATGGTACTTGCCACCCACTGTTTTAGGAAGAAAGGGTCACTCTAAAATAGCTAGGCCATTTGCTAATGCTATCCAAAATACAGAAGGCAAGCAGACAATATCAGTGAAAGGTAGATAATGCTAAAAAAAGTCCTGAGAGGGTCAAATGCAGACTCAAACGYACTGCTATTTAATGCATCCTGCTAACCAACAGCAGGGAACAGTGGTGTACATGCAAAAATTAGGCAGCCAGACAAGTTCCAAGAAGATCTCATGTTTCTAGCTGAGAAATCACTAGAGAAAAAGAATCCAATGTGGAAAGGAAGATATTAACAGAAAGTCTCTGAATCTTTCTAACATCTCTGATTCTTCCTAAAGCACTTGCTAAGCCTGCACATTCCACCCTGAAACAGGAAAAAACACCAAGGACATCAAAAGACCTAGCAAAGAGACCTTGTTCCAAAATGTAATGGGAATGGCAGAGAAAAAAGCATTGTCTTCAGAGTCAGCCTGATAGGACTGAGCCCTCTCCCCTTCTTTCCCAGGATAGGAGTGTGTTCCTCCTTCCAACACGATTCCGACAGAAAGGGCACGATATACCAGAGGATCTCAAGCAGCTGTCAATACCTGTAAGTATCTCAACTCAGAAGTTTGTACGCTGGCAGCAATAAGAAACTGTCCTGATAAGATTAAATGATGTTGAAATACGTCTGAGTGGCAAAGAAATAAACTCAGAACAGTCTTACACAGCAGGAAACCCAGSAAAGTGGCTTGATGGAGCCAATGGACTGAGGAGAATTGAAAGAGAAGCATTTGCCATGCCTGTTTTACAGTAGTATGAACCGCAGTACAAGGAAGAAGGCTTGGGGCAACTGCATTCTCCACTGCACTGTGGATAYAGGCACAGTATATAGGCAAACCATGGCAAGAAAAATGAGTGTACTAGATTTTATAGAACCACTGAGTCACAGAATGGTTGAGGTTGGAAGGGACCCCTACGTATGATCTAGTCCAAACCCCCCTGCTCCAGCAGGCACACCCAGAGCACRGGGCACAGGGCGGCATCCAGGCGGGTCGTGAAGATCTCCAGAGAAKGAGACTCCACAACCTCCCTGGGCAGCCTGTTCCAGGGCTCTGTCACCCTCACAATTTGTCAGTATCTTAGAGGAAATGTCAGATGACTGAGGCAAGACATTCTGAAGTAGCACATGGGCTTCTCCACAAACTCAGTATGAGACATGGAAAAAAATCTTTGTGACCCAGGTATCATATTGAGGATAAAAGACAGGTGATGAGGTGTGCATTCTTCTTTTTTTACACAACACATCACATACAGAGAAAAGAGAGAAGGAATGCATCCCCAGAGCGAATAACGAGGCTAGCAACTCCAGCACTTGCTCATATATGCGCTCTCTCAAAAGAGAAATAAATGTTATGAGGTAAACAGGAGATAATTTAGTACAAACATCAGCAATTTTTCAATGTTACACAAAACTATGATTCATAAAAAAAAAAAAAAAAAAANAAAAAAAAAAAAAAAAAAAAAAGAGCACAATGACGTACTTATAAAATTCAGGTTCCAAACCAAAACGTTAATTAACAAGTCTACTTAGTCTGTAAAGCCTGGAACAGCAGGTTCTATGAGAGGGAAGACAGTGAGACAGACATATCTGTAGAATAATACACCCCGAAGTTCCAAAATGATTTCTACAAAGAAGCAATATTCTCTGTGGAATGTAATGTATCCACGAGCTGTAAATGTGTGGTTTAGTAGTTTGCAGTCCTGWGTTCTTTAAATATTATTACAGATATGGAAACAGAAAAATTAACCAGTTCTAAATAAGTTAAGGTCCCGAGAGATGTACGGGCAAATAATGTAACAAAGAAAACAGTTCAGTTAAATTCCCTTTTCAGTTGTAGCTTTCAAGAACAATTCTGCCATCAGGTAAATATTTTCACATACAGATAGATCTCAGCAGAACAGTTGTTTAGAAAGACGGCTGCTTCAGAAAGAATCTCTAAGCCATTGTGAGGTTAAGATAAATAAGATGGACATAATAACACTTGAAAGATTTTCACACCTTGAAATTTCCCCTGAGAGGACTCTCTGAAATGTAAGGATTCTGAGCCTTACAATTAGAGGAAAGATCACATAAAGAAAAGCCATTTTTTATGCTTAAATGGAAGATTCTAAGCACAAAAGATAAACAATTTCATTTATGTCCTGAGAAATCAAGAGCTTTATCTGAAAAGGTAAAAGTCTTTCATGTTGTTTAATTTCTCAAGTGATATACTGCCAGCCCAGTCGTGAGCATCTTACTCATAATTTTTTTGAATATGATCAAAAATAAATAATCACTGATAGAAAGAGCTGAGAAGAAATCTCTCTGAACGTGCATCATAGTTTTAAAGTTTAAATGCTGTTTCACAGCTTAAGTTGCATTTAATCTTGTCTTTACTACATTAACACTTGCCCATTTAATCTTACTGACATATATCTGTGTAGCTATAAGTACCCTTTCTAYGATTTCTATAATCTTGTAATTAACTCCTGCAGTATACCAGGGTGTTCATTTCTCAAAGTTAAACATAGCAGACACCAATGCTCTGGAAATACCAGAACAATTGCTACTACACAACAGCAAGATATATCAGGTTATGTCTTCATGTTTGTGATTATATGACTGCTTATTAATTGCATTCGTGGTTCCAGTTGGCTGGAAACACAGACTGAGTTAATGTATGATGGTCTGCACTGCGGCAATACACAAAGGGAAAAAGAGATACATACATTTTAAGGATTGTAAACTCTAAGGAGTTTGAAAAAAAAAAAAACCTGCTTTTGATATATTGCTTCTTTATATATTGCTAATCAAACAGTGTAACACCATAACCTGATGTGTGCTACTTGAATGACATTTGAATAAGAAGAGTGGTACACTGCCAAACTGAGCATTTTTATTTGGCATATTAAATTAATCATTGTTCCTCACCTGTTAATACCTCCTGAACGAAGAAGCATTTTTTCATTAATTAGKGCAAGGACACAATTCCAGTTTTTCAGAGTAAACCTTGGTATAAGAAATTTTATAGGTGGCTTGATCATCTCTCCGTTGGTGAAAACACTGCCAGAAAGCAAAGACGGTAAGCTTTCTTTAGTTAAGAAACTCGTAAGAAAAAACAAAGACAAAATGTATAATTTTAACAATATGCAGTAGCTCGGATAATTATCAGTACTGCCAGTTTGATTTCAACAGTTCATTTTTAATCTTACTCTATTTCATTCAATTGTAGAACTCATTCATAAAATAAAATAGGATGGTATCCTCAACATGCTTCTATCTGACAAGATGGATGAGTCAACAGCAAAATATACTGTCCTTTAAACTGAGGTTACTTTTATCTCCATGTTACTCAAAGATATCCTCATGATCCCCAGCACAAATGAGCATAATATGAGTAATCAGCATGGATTTATGAGGGGGACGTTTTGCTTCACCAACTGGATAGCCTTCTATGACGAACAGTCCAGCTCGGAGGATGAGGGGAGACAAATGAATATTGCCTATCTTGACTTTAGATTTCAACACTGCCTCCCATAACATCCTTACTGATAACCTGATGAAGTATGAACGGGATAAGTGAACAGTGAAGTGGGATGAAAACTCCCTGAGCAGCCAGACTCCAAGGCTTGGGATCAGCGACACAAATCCCATCTGGAGGCCGGTTATCATTGCTGACTGGTAACCATTCAGAGGTACCTCAGTGGGTTGGAGAATGGGCCAACAGGAATTTCACAAAGCAACAAAAAGACATTAAAAGCCCTGCACCTGGGGATCAATAACCCTAGGCACCTGCAAAGGCTGGAAATAATCTCAAAAGAAGCTCTGTGGAAAACAGATCTGGTCAACAAATTGATCACAAGCCACCAACGTGCATTTGTGGCAAAGAAGGCCAACTGTAAGCAGGGCAGCAATAAGAAGTGTCACCAGCAGGTTGAAGGAGATGATCCCTCCTCTCTAGTCAGCACTGACAGGGCAACATCTGGAGTGCTGTATCCAGTGCTGGGCTCCTCAGTGCCAGCAAGACATGGACACACTGCAGCAAGTCCAGTGAAGGGCCACAGGGATTAAGAAGAGACTGGAAGGAACATCTAGGTGTCCCTGCTCGAGCAGGAGGGTTGGACTACATGATCTGTAGAGGTCCCTTCCGACCTTAACCATTCTGTGATTCTGTGACATACAAGAAGTTGAGAGAGCCTGAGAAGAAAAGGCTCATTGGGRTTCATGCATGAGTATAATCACCTGATGGGGCTTAGTTAGCGAGATGGCACCAGTCTCTTCTCAGTGGCATGCAGTGACAGGACAATAGGCATAAACTGAAATACAGGGAATTCCACTTAAATAACAGGAGGAACTTTTCTTACCATGAGGGTAGTCAAACACTGAACAGGTTACCCAGAGACACTGTGGAGTCTCTATTCTTGAAGAATTTCAAAACCTGATTGGACATTGCCCCAACCAACACAGCCTCTGACCCTGCTTTCAGCAGGGTCTGAACTAGATGATCTTCAGAGGCTGCTTCCAACCTCAGCTGTTCTGTGACTCTGTGTGGTTCTGTGACCAGTAGTGCTCTCTCTAAACCCATGTCTTTTTTTCCCATTTTTCCTTTTCCTTTTTTTCTCTTCCTGATTGCACTTAACCAGGAGAAGATTACTTTCATCTTCTGAGTTGACTAGAATCTCCTTATCAACAATTATATTGTCCAATTAAAACAAAAAAAAAAGGTCATTCTATGAGATTATACCTCCTTTCTGCCTGAAATTTGTCACTTCTTCCTATTACTCCAAAAATTTAAGTTCCTTGTATAGCTTCCAAAGAYTCTCCATAACTCACAATTTGTTCACACGTTATTTCATACAGTTCACACAATTTCCTTTTCCTGTCACTAATGACACTAATCTTAATATTCCATTTACCTAATTTTCACTCAATACATCTGTTCACTTTTGTGACACTGCATCTTATAGCTGAAAATTCCTCACAAAGTTTCACCTATTGCAYTTTTTATCTATTAAATAATTCTCTAATAACAACTTATACCTCAACATCCTTAGCAACATGTGACATGGCAAAGATATCTAATACAGGTAAACTTTTCATCAACTGCACCGTGCTCTTTAGAATTGTTACCACAAGGTCAATCTTCTAATATACTCAATCTCTCTCTTAAAACAATGATGTTGTCTCATTAGGCTCATTCAGCCTAATATCGCTGAACTGACCAACTATAGTAGCAGATCCCCTTGTTTTGGGAAAGAAAAAGAAGAAAATAATTGCACAGAAACCAGCACAGAGAAATCTACAGCTGCAGAAAATACTATTTCAAAAAAAAGGATTTTCAGTCTAGGCTGAAACTAGCAATTTAACACTGACAGTTTCATTCAAACCTCTCCTCAGGTGCTTTGGACAGCATCTTGTGCATCTTCCTCCTCACCATCTTTTAATAATCACCCATGTAATTCCAAAGAGGAATCTGAAACTGCTTCTGTGCAGTGTAAGGGACTCAGCATAAAAAAACAGCATAACATTCAATTAGTTAACATTTATTAACTCTTTATCCAGATCAGATTTTAATGCTCAGTATGAAACAGCTTTTTCCCTCTTTTTCTTTTGTAACTGCCAATTAAACAGTTTGTTATGTGAAGATCAGGTGAACACATTTTACGTTTTAATCATCCATTTAGCTTTGCAGCACCATAATACCACTTCCTATACAGGTAAACCTACCGTGGCAAAGAAAATGCTTTTTAAGAACATGGATTCAAACTTTTTTAAGCTTAAAAAATAAAAAAAAGGCCTACAACAAGTCCTGACAAAACGTGTCGAGTTTCAGCCAAGAGCAAATATTTATGTCTGGATGCCACTTTAAAACATCATCTTGAAATAATAAAGGTCGTATTTGGAAAGAAATTTGGGGCCATCTAGTGGGGCTTTCAGTCTATTAATATAAACCCTTGGGATGATACACTGAAACAAAGCATTCACTTTGCCAACGAAAAAACCTCTCCTTCATTTTCTTAAATATACTGCAAGTAGACACAACTTTYGTAGATTAAATATATAAAAAAAWGAACATATTATCATTGTGAAATATAAAAGAGCAGAATAATCCTTTGAGGGATGATTTAGAAATCTAGACTAGGCAAAGAAAATAAACTATGGAGCATGAGGCATGGCAGCCATGGGAAAGAATTACATGACCTAAAGAATCTTTTGCATCCTTAAATTCTCTTATCTTTATTTACCTATGGGAGACATGCAGTGTTGGAGAATTATTCAATAAACACATTTTTCCTTTCCTTAAAGGAGCAATTCAGCACATATGTAATATCAGAGACACTTTCAAATTTACTTTTTTAACCTTAGCTCTTGGTTTTGACACTGGAATTAAGTTTGATGGCTTCACTACAAAAAAAAAAAAAACAGTATTATAAGATTAGCCTGATGGTAAGATTTCCTACCTCCAAGCTGGGCATTAACACAGATTTGTATTTATTTATTTCTGGGTATACCTTAAAGACTATTGGCTTTAACCAGCCAACCCTTCTATAGATGCATCATTTACAAAGCTTTGAGAATAACAATTTACTGCAAGAACAGCAGCCACAGCACCCCTTTTCTTGTGCCTAGTGAGGGTGAGCTGAGACACATGGAACAGAAGTGTGGTTTATCATTTTGTCTGTTTTCCTGAGAGAGTTCAATGAATATGGGACATAAATCTATAAGAGAAACAGGTTGTGTTGTCAACTAAGAGAATTGATTGTTCGTATTTTTCACTCATAACAAACCACTGTTTTAGAAATCTCTGTACTGCTTTATGATTCCAGTAAACTTTTTCTAAATAACTCCTGGATTAAATGTCATTTTATCATGTTATTTATCATGTACACATTTTGTATCATATAATAGTTTGGAATATTATATATATATTTTCATATTTTACGAAGACTAAACAATTAGGCATGCAATATATTCTGTCATTCTCACCTCATTTCTTTTCTCCTTAAGAATACTTTGTGAAAAATTTGGTATACTCATATCATCCAAATTTAATTTAAGGTCAGTARGATCTATGAAGTATGTAAATATAAGCAAAATTCAACCATTCTCAATAAYGCTTTGTATAACAGAGTTTCACTACCAACATTTAGCTTTTAACTGAACACAGACATTTGGGAGTTTGTGTACACTATCAGAGTAGAAAATTCAAAACCAAATGTAAATGTCTGCTTTATAACACTTACTTGATATTTCGTGGCTTATTAGAGAAACATTGCCATCTGGAAGGCACACGGATAGTACTATGAACTACTGGTTTAATCTGCAGAAAAAAATAAATCATATATCATTAGCTGATGCAAGATGTTTAAAATAGTTTATTCTCACAGCATTGCTTAAATATAAACACTAGTCCCAGTTTCAGCTGCTATCTTTGTTCAGTACAATATGTAACACTATTAGTATTCCGGAAAATCTGCCATACTTGAATAATCCCAAATTTTTCCCTGTTCTGTGTTTTCTGTTCTAGTGAACCTGTGTCACGTTCATTCATAATTTGTCCAAGGAAGATTCCTTTCTGAAGCAACTGGCACCATTTAATCAACCACAGAAGTCGCTGTCAAAAGGCCTGAGAAGCTCTCTCCCCTGAGAAAAAAAGCTGCTGCCATAGCATTTCCAGCACTTGCTTAACTAAGAAGTGGAAAATTGAGATTTGGGATCAAAAAAGATTTTCTGCATAGGAGTCCAAGTCAGAATAAAGACCTAAATATTTATAGTTAGTAAGCCAGCAATTTTAAAACCTATTTTCTCCACTTACCAAAGTAGTCATTCCTGGTAACATTTAATTTTAGTTTATGCCATATACAGCCCTCTGCACATCACTAATGATGCTCAGGTGATTATACACTTTCATATAACTTGGATTTATTCCTCCAATAGCTCCTGACAGAGCAAATAACAGAATCTGATCAGACTAAAACCAGTAATAATTGTCATTACGCTAGTTCCCCACCCACCTCTGTCACACAAAATGGAATTATTTGGTTTTGGAGCTGTACACAAATGATTCCCTTGTGCCCCCAGACTGTTACTTACACTTTTTCACACTCCCCTTCTGCCTTTGATCTGACAGCAACATATGTTCTGCGATGAGGAACCAGCAGGAACAAAAATTTTGCTGCTAGTGTTAACGGCAAAGGTAGGAAAGCATAAATCTCTCCAGCTTAAAACCTGTCCTTAGATGTAAAGGCTGTAAGTGCAGTGGAAATATAAAAGGTGCTAAGGATCCGTTGGTCTGATATGTTCCCTGATGGGATTCTATCAGCAAATGTATAAGGGAAGAAGTTGGTTAGACACAAAAAAATCACAATATCCATTTCAATTTTAATCTTGTATTTAGCCTTTCATCAGCCCCACTGGCTATATCTGTACCAACATACTAAAAAGGTCCAGGGATCTGAGGATATAAGGTCCGGAATGGCTCTTATCCCTACCTAAACACTCCTCATGGGACAGTCTATACTGCCCACAGGAAATGCTGCCCTCCCAGGACAGTGGCCGAGTGCCAGCTCACATCAGCCAAACTGTATCAGGGGCTACAATAAAAACATAAACATTTTATTCTACCATATACCAGGGCTGAAGGCCACATACTGGCCCTGTCCATACTAGTATCGAGGTGGCCACTCAGCACTGTTTCTGTTCTAGATGGAGTGTATATTAACTACTGTTGATAAGCTGCCTTTTTTTATCTTTTTACTCCTCTTATTTCCATTACAGCCACCAATTTTCTAGCTGAAAAGAGTATTTCTGAACCACAGCAAAACTCTTAGACTGGTCAAATACTGTGGAACAACTCATCACAAAATCCTGGTCTCACAAGTCCTGTCCAGACAGGGACTTGCTGAATCTGTAACAGTGACCCAAACAGTGACAGCACCTATTCTGCAAACCCAGCATCACTTAATAGCGTCTGACTATTCCATAATATTAAGCTTCCTTAGTCTCCAAAACACAGTTCATGCCTATTTTGAATAGTTTCTGGCCCATGCTAACTTCCACCTGTGACTGTGAACTGGTGTACAAGTTGGTCCAGGCCAAAAACATACCAGGGACTGTGCTAAAAAATTAACAGTCTAGATTCCCTACATGTTCTAGTACTCAAGCATGTTCTAGGAGACTGCTTAATGTGTTAGCAAAGATTAAGCCAGAGGGAAACAGGCTCTGCAATAAGTGACCACCACAGCCACCACATATATATGTCCTTCTGTCCTTGACCTCGTGTTCTTTCAGTGGATGAGAAGGTGCAGAAAAAACACACAGGTCTCCTCACAAAAAACAGCCAGGACACATCCCAGTCCAACAAATGGTGGTCCCACATACAAAAGCCATGCTCACTATAATCCCTTAGATCCCATCTGTGCCTTAAGTCTATATACAAGAACAAAWCAGAATTTGGCTCTAAATACTATTTGATAGGGAGAAAGTAACAAAATATAGCAAAAGTCACACTTGCAGAGTGCTAATCTTACCACGAAAACAGTGTCATAAAGTATAGCAATAAAATACTGCACRAAGACAAGCACAGCTATCCCAATTGGATGTAGATGCTTGTTTCATTATGAAGCTTTGATAATGCAGATTGAAGACTACAAGTTCACTGATGATTTTTATTTGCAGTAATTAAAATATGATTTTGAGTATGTTTTATTATAGAATTTTCCTTTTCCTAATTTATATCAATAAAAAACCAAAGTGACGAACCATTAATTCAAGAAATAACTTCCTTATATATAAGTTAACTGGAAAACAGAGCTAGTCCCAGGCAACTCTCAGTAAAAATGGGTTAAATTCAGCAAAGCCAGCAGCTTAGCCCAGTTCATCTCCATTGTATTTTATTATGAATGTAATGACAGAGGGGAAAAAAATAACAATTGAAAATCTCTGTTTTAAATTGAGTTGCAATTATAACACAAAACGCAGCATTTTACCTAAGGCCTTTCCCATTTAACTTTTATGAGCCCAAAGCCCATTTGCATTCAGTGCCACAGGACAGAATGCAAAGATCCCACGCAGAGGCTCATCCCTAGGTCTAACTGGCTCAGCATGCCCAAGGGAGCTCCAAAGTGTTTGCAGTACCATGTGAGTGAGACTAGGTTCTGCATCAATGGTGCAGTAAGACTGGCCTCAAAACCAAAAATTCAGTGAGACAGCACGTATATCTAGTGGTTGATGCTATATCCTCTGCACAGACTTTGTGTATACACATGCAATATTCAGGGCTTCCTGTATACCTGAAATTGCCCTCCTCATGCTTGCTTTAATTCTAGCAGAAGTCCTTTCTGCTGCTGTTATCTTATTTCAAGGATCTAAATAGGGCTTAAAGGGCACACTTTTTCATTTTATCTGCTGTCTCAGACAAGAAAGAGTGTTCATAACATTAAACACGACAGAGATATGCCAATGCAGATGTACATCTGAAGGTCAAACTGACAAAAACAACTAGGAAAGGATATGCAGTTTAGCATCCCTGCATCTACATCAATATTGGTCTCAAAAACTTGCTATAGTAATGGGTACCATACAGTTAAAATCCATTGTTCTGCAAAATAAGATGTTACAAAAATGAGCTATATGTACTCCATGGGATTAAGCTTTATTAGATACAGGCTTACAACCATTGGTTTTTAATTCTGAACTTTTCTCATACTCTGTTCCAGTTCAAATACAAATAGGCCAGCTTAAAGACTACAGGGTCTAAGGAAACCTCTTAGATTTCAGACTGGAACAGAACACGAGAGGCCTTACTTAGCCAGCACAGGTTTCAAGGGAAACCATGAGAGATGAGAAGTAACTGCAGTGTCCRAATTACCCAAATAAACTGTGAGCCTAACCATGCTGTTTTGGGAAAATGTCCCAATCTAAAGCCAAAGGTTCAGGGGCAAGTCACAGAAGCTGTATGAACATCGTCCATCTCCCAGCATAGACATTGGTGTTGGTTTAGCTGATTCTTCTTTGACCCTCAGCTTAAGGAAGATAGTGAATAAACTTTTGAGGTTCTGCCCAGGCCTACTTATTAGTTTCTATGATCAAGACTATGATAAGCTCAGCAGACAGGGCAACTCACCATCAATAACTACTCTGGACTAGGTGACCTCTAGAAAACCCTTCCAATCTCATCTGTTCTGTGATTAATTGCTAAATATGAGTATTAGAGCTAATGCTCTTCAAATTACTACTTGAACAGGCTACTGCAAAGAGTACAGAAGTGCTCTTTAATAATTTAATAGTTATTATTAATTATGAGAAAAAAATTAAACAGAAAAYGTAATCAAATGAAAATGATGAGAAACTGCAAGATTAACTTGTATCAAAATTTTGGACAATGAATATCTGCTGTATTGATGATACTACATCACTATATTCTTGCCTAAAAAATCATATTTTAAGTGTTAAATACAAATGATACAAAGTAATAATATTTTAAAATAATAAATAATAACAAAAAATAAATTAATTTTTATAGTAATTTAAACACTTACCATCACTTCTCTTCTTTTCCCTGGTTGCTTTTTAATTCCTATTTCAAAATAGCTATAATGGGAAAAAAAAAAGACAAAGTAAGTAAAATTTGTACACTTATGTATCAAAAGAAATGGGCAATCCAAAAATACTCACTGTAAACCCTCTATCCAGTGACTAACAAAAGAAATGATGCCAGTAGCAGTACATCAGTTTACCACTGCTGGAAACTAAATACTATACACTTTCTCACCACAGTGGAACCTAAATCCCAGCAAGGTGTAGGGCTCCCTGTGTTGGAGGGGTGATACAGCTGAGAAGGGCTACTTAAAATGATCACTCTTTGATCAGGAATTTGATTACTCTTTGATCAGATATCCTGCAAGAAGTACTAGCCCCGTGTAGTTGTATGAAATCCCTCAAAGTAGCTAATGGAGTAAAGGAATGGGTGAGAATCCCCTTTATCAATCCTGGGTCCAAAGTCTAATATTCTCCCTGAAATATRCTATACATCTTCTTATGGCCATAGATGTGATTGTACTACCCACCTCCAACACAGCAGTCTATTGACTAATGCACTTGTCCAGAATACCATGTATGTATGTGTGTGTGTATACATACATATATATATATAATCTACATGCATACAGAGTGAGTGTCTTGCAGCTGGATTTACTTCACAGCTCCAATGCAAATTTCTGTAAATCATCAATTAAAATTCAAATTCTGAAATGATTTTGACTATATATATATGATTTTTGACTAATTATATACATATATAGAACAGCATATATAAATTCCAATGATATTTTCAAACCTACAGTTCAGGCATCAACAAACTCATTATGTCAAAAAATAAAAACATAAAAACATGCATCATACTTCATTTCTGGAGTCTTCTTTTTCAGTGAAATCTAACCAAAACTTACACATAATCTACAGTGTCACACCACAGCTAAACTACTATTTATACTGACTGACTAGCTAAACTAATATTTTAACTATTTAGTAATAATTAATATTTAGTAATAATTATCTAGCTATTCTTGCTCAAGCAGAAAAGAGATTCTCTAATTTCACAGGAAAAAGGGAAAGTTTCAGCAGGGCTTAACTGCAGAGAGACACCTTTTCACACAAAACTTTGCGACTTCCAGATCCTCCAGAAATGCCAAAATACAGCACCACCAAAAAACAATATTAGCAAAACTTGACAAGCACAAGAAATGAGATGTAGCATGAGGAGAGAGAGAAACAAAACTGTCTTGGTTGCTCTTAGGTTATCAAAGCAGCTCCATAACTGTTCCTCAGAGTCATGACCAAGCACTGCTCCTTGCAGTGGAGCAATGACCTGCAGCCCAGAAAAGAGACGCCTGTCCCAGGTAAGTCTTATCTGTCCATGACCTTGCTCCTCTTTTTTCCATTGGCAATACTCATGTATAAAGAGACCTTCAGAATTTTTAAGAAATTATGTACATCCATTTCCTTAACAAAGCATATGAATCTTGGTTTCACATTCAAAATACACAGCAGTAGCAGTAATAGTTTTCAAATGTCTCCCTTAGTTATCTTGTTAAAATGATACAGTGGAGAATAACTTTTATATCCTAGGTATTCCTGGGAATATGGCTATTCACATAAACACAAAAAAAAATGGAGAAAAGCTTTTAAATCTCAGGTGTTCTTGGGAATACRGCTATTCACACACAAAAAAACATGAGCTATAGGTATACATGTTACATATACAAAAATATTTGCTCGCAGATGTCACAAATCTGAAAGCATGCATGTGCGCTTTATCAGTCACTTATGATTTGAACTCAAATGATTGCATTCTGCTTTGCAGCAGTGCATTAGCTGGCAGAAATAAAGGCCACGGACCATCTTTGTTGCTGCAGTTTCCTCAAACAGCAGTAAGAGCAGTAGATGCATGAAGCCAATGATCCTCTTCACTATTTCTCCTGCACTCAAGGTTCTTCAGAGCAAAGAATAAAACTAAAACTGAATAAATCTCACCAGTTTTAACTACCCCTCTCTTGGCAAAACAGAAATGTAAAAGACTCTAGTGGTCGGTCTGTACTTTTCTGAAGATAACTCAAAATTTGAAGAGCCATTCAGGATAAAACATGTAGCATCCTAAAACTCAACAATCCTTTTTTGCTGTAATTTACTGTCCACTTCAAGTATCGTTGCCCTCTCTGGCAAAAAATCAAAGCTGTGTTTCTCTGCTCCTGACACCCCAATATACAGATTTGCCTTCCTAGGGCACGGGCGGACAAACTTGATCTCTACCAGATTTACAGGGTTCCATATGATAGTGGACTAAAAATATAATAGTAGATTAAAATCAGCACTGAAAAAAATTTATTATCTGATAAATTAATTAGAGCATAAAAAAGGGGGAAAAAAACCTTGATCTGCACCATTTCATTTCCCAGAGGGGTGCAGCTTGGCTGAATACAGCATAGGTGCCTTCGTCAATGATCAGTTCACCTTTGCATTGTAAGGTGTGGTAGGGAAGTGTATTTTTATACCTCCTTTTCTCCACATTTTATTTCGTATTTAAATGTGCATTTCAAATGATACATGTGAATTAAAGCGATAAAATCCTGGCAATCATCAGGCAATTAATGACTGAACTGGTGAATACAGGAAAAGTGTTGACTGTCAAAGACTATAAATCACTCAGGGGCACAGCGAAATCCTTGTGCTTCACCACCCAGGCACCATCCATCACTGCCTCCACTGCTGAGCAGGGGTCTCCTCCATCTCCACACATGGCAGCCAAGGAATGACCAACTACAGCCACACTGACAGCACAACCRGCCAGGGTCTGTCACCAGAACAAGATGCATGGCCAGGATACCTTCCATGTATGAGATCTAGGAGGAGTTTYGCTGAGACATCTTCCATTTAGAATAAATAAAGGGTGCATCATCAAGACATCTTCCATGCAAGAGAAATAAAAGGAGCACCATTGAGAAACCTTCCATATAAGAGAAGTAGGGGCAGCAGCATCAAGACATCTTCCATGTAGGAGAAATAGGGGGAGCATCATCAAGACACCTTCCATGTAAGAGAAACAGGAGCAGCATCGAGACACCTTCCACGTAGCAGAAGGAAAAGCAGCAGCATCAAGGTGTCTTCTGATTAAGAGATATCAAAGCAGCACCATCAAGACATAAGAGGGGCACGGCCAAGATGCCTTCCATGTAAAATAAATGAGAAGTATGGCSAAGACACCTTCCATGTAAGAGAAATAAGAGGAGCATCATCGAAACACCTTCCTTTAAAGAGATACTAGAGGAGCATCATGGAGACATCTCCCATGTAAGAGATATAAAAYGGGCATCACCAAGACACAACCCACGTAAGAGAAACAACCGAAACAGGCTGGGGAAGGGCTCCCGTGGCACCATGGCGGGCAAGACCCCTGTCCGCAGCACCGGCACCTCGGCRGGGGCCGAGGCTCTCCACTTACTCCAGCTTCTTGAACTTCTCCAGCCCCGCGGCCACGTAGCGGCCGCCCTGCTCAAGGTCGCCCAGCTGGCGCACGCGGTGGCCCTGGCGCGGCGTGTAGAGCGCGCGCACGCCGAAGGGCGCCGCCACCGCCTCGCTGAGCTGCGCCAGCAGCGCCTCGAAGGTGGGCACGTGCCGCCGGTTGATCACGAACTTCTTGCCCGGGTAGAAGGCGTCGCCGTTGCGGTAGACGAGCACGGTGCGCGCCGGCACCAGGTCGGCGCGGCTGCAGCCCGGCGGCGTGGCCGGCGACGCCACCATG